GACAAAAGAGACAGACACGTGCTTTCATAATATATACAGAAAGTCACCGTCCTCTGAATGAATAAATAAATAAATAAATAAAAATAAGAAAACAAATTAACAAAACTTTTACAAAAGCACTCATATTAAATCCAAGACCAGTAAAGTACATTAATAGCTATCTGACATAGCTACAAAGCTGGTTTGCTATCAGTTGTGGTAAAGACCTACATTTCCTCTTGGCTCCAAGGATGCTAGGTCGTATTATCCCCGGTACTATTGGACTCAGGCTTCTTCTCGTACCGCTGCAAGACACACGCAATTGAAACAAGAGTCAATTTAAAATATTTTCTTCAGTCTGATTATTACATGGTGCAACAAAATCTGAAATCAATGTAATATTGTTATTCATTTCTTTGTGAATCAGAGAGCTTTCCTTCTTACTAAGACCAAATTCAAAAAAGAACTTCAGACCAAAACTTCATCTAAATTTCTTTCTCTTAACTAGTCCCTCACTTATCCTTAGTGACTTTGAAAAAAAAATTCTTTATCAATCAAATTCTCATTTTTGAAAGCACCAAACTGAAATATGCTGTACCCTTTCGCAAGAAAAGTCTGAAAACAAAAGCAGAGACATGTGACAAGAGGAAACCAATCCCATACCTGAACTTCCGTGTTGGACTTGGGTTTGGACTGTGGAGTGCAGAGCCTTTGTGAGCAGACTGCGTGGAAGGCGAGAAACATTGCTGGAACAGATGGCAAAACTTCTCATAACACACCACAGATAGATATAATAGATGGTATTTAAGTCACCAACATTTTACAACTCATAATGATTAGATCTACTGTTTAACGGACAATTAAGAACAGAGCAAGTTCTGATAGTTAATCTTTTAAGTTGGGTTTATTTGCAGCCATCACCACTTCAGTATTGAGGGTATACATTTTGCAAATAAATAATTGAAAAAATACCACAACTGCATAAAATTATGCTCCTAGTTTGACTGACATGGCGTTCTACTTCTGCATTTACTGCTTAATTTTTCAAACTTTGTCAGTTAGCTAGACTAAGTACAGCATATGAAGCTCCTGACCTTTCCAACTCTAGTTGGAGATGGCGAGCTGGGGTACGATAAAGGGGAAGTAAAAATGTGGAGAGTTTCGCTGAAGGAGCGGGGACGTCTCGCGGGTGTTTCACTGGCCATTTGTTCATCCTGGAAATACATCAAAAACATCACATCATTTCTGAATTAACATCAGGAAAAATGTGACCAATTACAGTTACTGTAATGAAAACTGGTCAAAAAAAGAAACTCCTGTAAAAAATATTCAATAAATGTTTATTCCACCCTATTTTACCACAAGCCATTAACTCCACCAATCAACGGAAATAAGCAATATATGAATAGTTACTAAAACTATGAGGACAAAGAATTTTGTCTGACACAAGTTGCATAAATATATTTTTAGAAAAAGATCAATATGTCAATCTCAGAGGGATCAAAACCCACCCCAGCATATGAACAAATCATGCTAAAGACATTTGCTTATAGAAAAAGAAAATTTATCTTAAAATTTTTCTTATTGCTAATCATATCTGATCAGGCCAAGCCATCTTACCTTTATGACTACACAAAATTTGACCATCTAAAGTGAACCCAAAGAATTGCATGTAAAAGATTTCTATATTGTCAAAATTTAATTACAAAATTGTGATTGTTTTTAAAATATATTTAGATACACTTGAGCCAGCAAACTTACCAAAGACAACTCCTCCCAAGACTGTGACATCTGCATTGCAGCTTGCACATCTCTGAAACACGGACAATTTAATTTTCATTAAACTGCTTACCATATTGAATCCCTTTTGTGTCAAACCATATCCAAGTCATGTCTATGAAGGTCTAACACAGGTTTTGCTGTATCATGCAGCTGTGGTTACCACCTCTGAGATGAGCCTAAGACTGCATTCCCAGAGATTTAGATCGATCCATCCGGATCGACCTAACTCCCTGGGAGTTCACACTAAATTGCTGTCAGACGAGCGCCCACCATAGTTAATTACCCCCTTAAAGCTTTTAGTAGGCGGGACAGACATTTAAGCCTGTTAAGCTGACACCAATCTAGTGAGACTCCCCAGGGGGATAGATCGATCTTAATATCTATGGGAATGGGGTCTAAGACCACGTTCAGATTCAAACATCGAACCAGCTGGATGGTTCCAACTCTGCTGGGGGATTCCTCATAAAGTACATTCAGTGCAATCAGCTTAATTGTCTGACATGCCTCCTTGGGTAGATAGTAACTTAGTAACTTAGTTAATTACCCCCTGGCAACTCATGGAGGTGTGTCAGGCATTTAAGCCGATTACAGTGACTGCATGCATTCCCCACAAACAAGAGGAGCATATTAATGATGACCTTTAAGTTTGTTTTTGGTGCTTCTCCTTATTGCTCAGCATAAGTTTGAAAACATGTTTTCTAGGTCAAATTTTGAATTTAGTGGTCCTGTTCAAAATTCATATCCATCTCTCTACATCTCATTCTATGCAGATTTAATGTCAAAATGATACATTTTATATGAACAACACCCACCTTTCATGTGCGGCTTCCCTGTTAATCATGTCGATGCTTTCTTCATGTTTGATTTGATGAAGCCTTGAGGGAATTTTCATGGGAGGCTGAAAAAGAACACAAAAAACAGTTAGACAATCATTTCAACCATTCCTCCTGCCATAAAATTAAAGGGCATAAGAATGATTTCAGCCACTGCCTATGACCTTCACTAAGAAGTTGTCTTGACAAAAGTCAGGTTTCAGTTAATTGAAAATTTGACATAAGCAACATTCGTGACAATGACAGTTTATGCCAAAGAGAAATTTCATTCTAAAGGACGTGATCAAGATAAATGATAATTCAAGTAAGAGTCTATTGAAAGTTATGCATTATTTATATATATGAATTTCAGCACAAATAAATAATAATAATAACAACTTACAGAAGAGTGGGGCAGCACACTGCTACTGGTGCTAAATCTTCTTACTCTTCCACTTTCTATTGGCCTAAATGTTGCTCTACTGAAATAATACATTGCTGCTTATAATATTTATAACAAAATATTTATATAAAGGTATATTTTCATATCAAGGTAATTGACAACAGTGGTTAAAGAACTTCATCAGTGATACTGGAAAAAAGTTTGGACAGTAAAGAATATAGAAAAATACTGAGGTCTCAATGGAATTAATTCTATTCCTTAGCTGTTATTGTGGAAAAAAATATTGTACATAACTGAATCTAGTGCAGCAAATTTGAAGGAAATAAAGCATACATATAGTCTCAACTGAATGTCCAACTGTCCCAACTTTAATGGCAACAATGCTGACAACAGATATAGGTGATGCCTATAGGTGACAAGTATTATTTGTCCATAAAAAATATTAAGAATCAGTAAAACTAATAATGACGTCAACTTACTTCATGTGTGACGTAGGGCTTGCCGGGGGCACAGGAGGGAGGGCGTTCAGCAGGTTGATCATGGGAGCACTACTGGATCTCTTCAAGGTACCACCCACTCCACCGGGGTTGTTGGACTCGTTGGAATTACTGTTACTGCTACTGCTGCTGGTCGGAGGATCAATCTCCATGCTAACACCTGCCATGGAAAATGACGGTCGCTCCTCCTGCTACACTTATCCTCCTCCTCCGCCTTGATAGCTCTTTTGATCTACACAAAAAATGTCCAGGATTATGATAGAAATGATCGTGGTGAAATATCTCACTTTCTTTGAAGAATTCCACAAGCTGTGTTTAAAAGTTGGTTTATTTGCTCCTCAGCACATACACAGTGAAGTTAGTACTGTAGTATACATGTATATTGAAATAAGGCATTGACAACAATAAAATTATTTTATCTATTCATTTAAAGCAGGTTGGCAACTTGCTGGTTTGTGATTTTAAGGCACAGTGGACCACAACAGTCACAGACTGCTAAAAGGAAAATTCAAAGATGTGGACTAACTATTCTTACCTTGGATTCATATGTGCATAACACACAAAAGCACACCAGGAACAGCAAATGTTATTATTAACGTTTAATTAATTAATTTTTTCATCCAGTAAATGCCCGATAGATTGGTCTTGTAACTTATGCAAAGTTCGTAGAACAAAGTAACATGCCGATCTTAATTTTCATTAAAAATACATTAGGTAACAGTCATCTAGCCTTCAAGATGCAATGCAAGACCATACACGACAATGGAATTACGCTGCCAGTTCTTCACATTTTTCAGAATCATGTTGGACATGCCAAACTTTTTTCATAATCTAAATTTCACATCGTCAAATTTCGGTGATCGTCGTGACTTCACCTTCCACGAATCACGATACTAGTAATATTAACAATCTGTTGGCCGGTCCCTTTGCATTGGAAATGTAGAGATGCCTCCATGTCACAACCCATTTTTACAACAGTTAGTTTACTACTTACCCAAAATCTAGTATATAGGGGAGTTGCACAAAATGCTTTTAATAATCCACATCTTCCTGCCGTTCTGTCAGCGGCTCATCTAGGGGTGCCAAATTTGCTATCAATGGAATTTAACAGTGAATCTTATTGGTTGATCGTCCGTTAACAGACAAGAAGGAAATTATTAAATTTCATGTGTACCTGGCTAAATAATAACTTTATTTAGAATGTGCATTCATTAAAATCGTCCCAAAATCAAATAATTAAAATATTGTTTTGCAAAATAACTTTAAATAACAAAGAGTCGGTTACAGAAATCAAAATAACCTAAATGCATTGTCCAATAAAAAATGATCTCTTATAAGTCGCTGGGGATGGAGTTTGAGCAAGTACCCACGTAAGCTAGTTGTTATAAAAAGGACAGTGGATTTTTTTAAGAGTTGCAAACGATACACTTTCTATGAACTGATATGAAAATTATTGTAAAGAATATTGGGAAATTATATGCTATAAATAGAAAAAATATTTTAGACACTGACGTTGTACCAGTTTACGATACCCATGGCGCTCGTTGGAGTGCGCAAGCGGGGAAATTTTGCGATCATATAGAAGACTTTCACGTTTATCGGAATATCACCACAATGTCTGTTTACCAGACAAAAAGCCACGTCGACAAGAATGTTTCCATGATACTCAGTAAGCTGAAAACCGAAAAGGAGGTAAGTTTGATGGACTTTCTTTTTTGTTCATTTGACCCCGTGTAAGTCGCCATCTTGAAATGAACTAACTTAAATGAATAAATATCAGTTACCGGCGTTATGTAAATACTGTCCTCTCATTTGTAGTGAGCTGAAAGTAAAGGGGGAGTCACATCTATTTGTTTATGGTACTGGGATGGTATTGCAGAACTGTCGTTTAGGTCAAATGTCTTTGTTCTTGAGGTTTCATCTCGTACTCGGAGACACATTGGCCATTGTTAAATTCACAGTCAATCAGTAGTAAGGACTCTGCCGTTTGTTGCGTTGGCCAACAGAGTCATACATTGGATTTTAACACATTTTTATGTGACTTATTTTTCAGTTCACCTTCATATTTGGATTTATATATATGCAGCTGCATGCCAGAAAATTTAGAAAAAAACATCGAACTTTCACTTTTGAACTTGAATTTTTTCATTATCCTGTAAATGACATTATGGGAAATATTCTCATAAAAGACTTATCTTCTTTTTTTTCTTCTTTACCTTAAAAGAAGATAGTTTTGTTGCCCCGTGGGCTGGTTTGTTTACTTCTTTTGTCAAATTATACTTGTATCTAATTTAAAAGATTATTGGCTTAAACATATAAATTTGAGGTCAGTAATAGTGCTGAGTTATATTTCTAATGTCACTTATTCAGCAACTTTCTTTTTATTCCAGAGAAACTCCAGAGGTTTGATAATTGCCAGGCAGTATTATGAAGTAAAGGAATATGAGATGGCAAAGAGGTGAGGTTACAGCCATTTTTTTTCATATGAATTGGTTCACATAGAATATGTAACTATTGACTGGCACTGATAGTGGGGTAGACATGATTTTTTAATTGTTAATTGCAGAATTGTTTAATTGTTATTGCAGACATGGTTTTTTAGATAAAAATAATCATTTTTATTTTTTAATTTAAATTGGATACATCCATTTTTTGGTAGTTTTCTGCCTTAAGTGGTGGCCCTAGACCTTTAGTCATAAGGCTACTGAGTCATTTCTTCCAACTTTTTTCTTACAGCCAGTTGTTAACAGCCCAAATCCATGCCTGTGGTAGTGAATTAGCTAATTTCAGTCTGTTATCTTTATGTCTGTACCCATTGCTATGTATTGCAACATTATAAAATTCAATTAAAAAAAAAATTGCAGCAGAATAGATCTATTAATGATCACTTATTTTAGAAATGTAAATATTTATTTACAATCATCAATAAAGTAATTTAGCAATGAATTTAAATGAATTTCAGTTTTATCTCATCTAGATGGATAATTATCATCACAAATATATTATTTATATTTGAAGGTATTGTGCTCTCTACCTCACGGTCAAGGAGCAGTATGCCCCAGCTCACAAGTTGATGGGTCAAATCCATGAAGCTCTAGGACAACTGGACAGGGCAGTGGCTTGTTATAAGAAGTGAGTGATAGTAATTAAGTCTCTAGCCTTAGCTTTGATTAACAATAAAGGGTATAACAAGGAGGGTTAAAAGTTAATGGTCTGATCTGACTCCAATAAATTGTATCAGTCATAAGTATATATTCAAAATTTTTTTCTTCATCTGTGGATTTCTTCTCGAGATAGGCGAGTTTGATTTTGAGGTCTACGGTTAAAATTTCATGGAATTTATTAATTTCAGATGCCTTGAATTGGATGGAGCACAGAAAGATTTAGTTCTGAAAAGTAAGTGCTTATAATAAAGAATTGATTGATATTGCATTTTGCTGCTTGCATTCATCAGAAATATATAAATTATGCGGGTAATACTCCATGATATGCCGTATTTATACATGTTTGTAATATTTTTATTGATGCTATCAAAATGATTTTCTAAAATATATTTTTAATAATTTTCCCTGGATTTAAAACGAAGCGGTTACAACAAATTCCTCACTTGTTTTTATTGTTTTTTATTTACTTTTAGTATGCCAGCTATACAGCAAACTGAAGGTAGATCCAGATGTAGCAAAAGTAAGTAGAAACACTGAAATGTCACCCATTATTGGAATCTATACTGATAAATCGGTTGGTGTTAACATGTTTTCATTTATTAGATAGTTATTTAAAACCCTATTATCACATTCTGTTTGATATGCCTTTGGAAAGTACTTGGCAAACAATTACTGACTCCATGGCTGATCTCTCTTTTAAGATCTCTCTTCAGAACTTTAATAGCTAACTCGATGGTAGTTCTTATGTCTTTTGCTTGATTGCTTTAAAGATTATTACTATATTGCCAATTTATTTTCTAGTATTGGGCTGAGAGAGCAGAGAGGCTATTCCCAAACCATGAAGCTATATTTCAACTTAAGGTTAGCATAGTATAAGGAAAAGCATAATTTGTTTGACCACAGTGACTATGGTTTTTCCATTAAACTCTGTTAATTTTTTATGTATTATTAGCACACAATGTTTCATGTGTGGTAAATTTAAGATTGCTGTATTGTTTGAAATGAGGAAAACTGAATAGAATCAGTGTCTGAGGTAGGGGAATGGTGGAACAGTTTATAATACTGGTTTTTATTCAAGCACAGAGTTACTTACTTTTATTTATAATCAAATTCAATATTAGATTGTGGAAAAATAATTCTCTAAATATTTCAATTCTTTAAAACTATTTAGTATATTATATTTGGCAGGTGGTTCGTATTTGGCATGCAAGCGTGAACCAAAATCTGGGACAGCGCTAGCAATTTTTTTTGCTTAGCCAAATCACCACTTTTTTGTCAATTTGTTATCAAAATGGATATAATTTGACTAAAACAAGTCAAATCAAGCCCTTTTTGTTTAGCCAATTTAATTCAGTTTTCAGCTAAATTGGTGAGTGTTAGCGCTACCCCAGAAAATATGGTGTTGTTATTAGAAGTTTTGATAAGTCTAACACTGAATTAACTCTGTGTTATTTAACAGGAGCAGATCCACATGACAAATGGCAATACAGCACATGACTTGGAAGATTTATTGGCAGAGGAACTTGTGAGTTTTTTTTTTCCTATAAATGTGACTTGAGAATAGTGCATTCCACTGGATGGCTGACATAAAGCACATTTCAGTTCACTTGATGAGTTTTTGATAAATAAGCGAGAGTTAGCTTCCAAATTACACAAATTTTGTGGTAAGATGATGCATCTTCTGTATGTGCGAGTGTCTTGTGCTTCTCAAGTTGAATAAGTCTTACTTTCCCTCAAAATATGTTTTTTGGCTCAAGATTTTTAATTTTGTTGTGATTCTTACCAGTCATATTTGATATTTTACTTGATGCTCCTTATCACAGGCTAAACGTCCAACAGATGTAAAACTTCGCCTCAAACTTCTGAAGCTGTATCAGGGAAACTGGAGAATCAATGACGCCTACCAACACGCCATCTCGGCAGAGAAGACAGGGGCCTACAACAGCAGTTTGGAGTGGTATACTCACCTCGTGAACCTGTTCCAGGTATTTGTTCAGATTCAGTTTGGCAAATAAAAAATTCATTGGTTAAGATGGAGCAGAATGATTGTTTCATCAATTTATTTGATTGTCACGTTAATTTTTGGTGAACTATAAAAAAAACAGTAAATGTTAAAGTTTCAAAACATATGAATTTGTTTTCAATATTTTTAGGCCTATAAAGAACAGGCTAATGTGGACGCCATGTTTTACGTCAACTACCTGAGCGCCCTTAACAACTTAGTCACCCTCAGCATGGGACACAGAAATGTAGCTGACTGTGCAGAAGCTTTATATAGGTAGGCTATATATATGGAGAGGTGAGAAATCTCCTCTCCTCCCACTCACTCACTCACACGCGTGCGCTCACACACACACACACACACACACACACACACACACACACACACACACACAACATGCATGCATGCATGCACACACATACACACACACAATTTGGAGTTATTTTACCTGAATAGGATGGATATGATGAAGACCATTCCTCGTGTTTAATGAAGCCATGTATACAATACACAAAACATTAGATTTAGGTGATTGTAATTAATCCAGTTATTGCTTAAAAGAGGCAAGTTGGATGAG